GGGGGGGGGGGGAGGCAATGTGCATTGTTGAATGACAAAGGAAATGGGGCGGAAAATTAAAGAATCTTTCTACAATGGTGATGGGGACATGGGCACCCTACAGCCGTGATGTGAAATCCAAAGAGGGCAGGGAGCTCCTGGCCGTGGGGCCATTTCCACCCTCCCCTTTACCCCTCCAAAACCCATTTCTGCCTCTTTTCTTAGTTTGCCTCCATCAGGGAGGAGAATATTAGTTTCTTTATGTCATCTGGTTATTGACTAGAAGGACAAATTGAAAAATGCAGATTGCAGTTTTTCTTGGAAAAGGGGGGAAAATCCAGATTTCAATTTGTTCCCTAGATATTGTGTCTGGACCTGAGATGTGAACGTCTCTATATGTAGACACAGATCATTTCAAAGCCGCCTTGTTTTGTTTGGGGTTTTTTTGCACGAACTTCATGTTGTATTTGCAGGATTGCGGTGCTCCAAAGGAAATGAGTAAACAGCTAGCCAACAGCCTGGAAACGGCGGTGGCACCCGGCCACCACGATGGCTCCTGCGCGCCCAGAACGAGCCCGGAGCAGGAGCTTCCCGCGGCCTCAGCCACGCCGCCGAGTGTGCCCAGGTCGGCTTCCACCGGTGCCCAAACTTTCCAGTCCCCCGACGCGCGAGCCTGTGAGGCCGAACGCCAGGGATCGGGGGCTTGCAAACTCAGTGGCCCGAGGCCGCCAGCGGCCTCCGCGGCTCTGCGGGACTTGAGCGAGACTCATGGCGCTCAGGCAGCCCCTCCTGGGGGCGCCGGGCCGGGCAACGCGCTGCATTGTAAGATTCCGGCCCTGCGGGGCCTCGAGGGGGATGCGAACGTGAGTGTGGGCAAGGGCACCCTGGAGCGGAACAGTACCCCAGCCGTGGGCTGGGTGAATATGAGCCAGAGCACCGTGGTGCTGGGCACGGATGGAATCACGTCTGTGCTACCTGGCAGCGTGGCCACCGCTGCCGCCCAGGTAAGCAGGTCTCGCTCGGCCCGCGCCGCCTCCTGCTCCCCAGGCGCGAGGTGAGCGGGCAGTGACGGGTGCACGTGTGCTGATGGGGAGACTGGTTGGCAGTGCCAGGTAATGGATGCGGGAGACAGCTTTGGGGCTTCGGAAGCTCGCACTGCGCTGGGGCCTCCAGTTCAGGGCACTAGGGCTGCAGCAACCCCACCAGAGGAACCGTGACCTCAGGAGCTGCCCCTCCACCATCTGTCCCTTCCCAGCCTCAGTGGTGGCAGAAATCCGGGTTCAGCATGACTAAGTAGTTGATGCAGATAGATTCCTACCCCTTTCCGCAGACACGCGTCCCTCTCTTGCCAATAGCTGGGTCTTTAATTTTTTTCTTAATTAAAAAAGAAAAACCCGGAGGAAATACCAGTTTAAGTTCTGCAGCCTTGTCACTGCGAGTTACCATTTATCACATGAGAACTCCTTTGAGGAGAGCTGGGTTTACGTGAGCCTGCTCCTGCCGCTTAAGCTTCAGGGCCTTTCCAAAACCTGGTACTTAATTTTGTCATCACAATTTTATATGTTCTCTCCCCCCCCCCC